TTCCAGGTGGTTTATGTAATTAAAAAAAAAAAAGAAAAAGAAAAAGAAAGAAAGAAAAGAAAAAAAGAGGTGTGCTGAGTGAGGGAGGATGTGGTCGTATGTGGATTTATTCTGCATCCTTGAGTAGAGGTCTGTAAATGCAGGAACTGAAAAAAACAGAACGTGGACTTTTTAGTGACGCTAACCTCAATTAGGGAACAGGTACCGCTTCTGAGACCACTCAGTCTTACCAGGTCTAAGATTCTGATCTTACTTCTCCTTTGATTTTCTCCACCAACCTCATGACTAGTAAAGATTGCTTGTGCTTTGGCCGCCTGGTGTTAACATTCATTAAAGGCTACGGCCGCGGTCCGCACCATCTGCTAAGCCACTCGGGGAGCAGCAGCCGCGGCGCGCAGTTGCTTGCGGGACACAGCCGGCGCAGCCCGGAGAGCGCAGCGGCTGGGGGAGGGGAACTTGGTGTGGCCTGACCAGTTGGCACAAGCCTGTAACAGCAAGACGTCTTGGCTATTGTAAGTCCAAGTGGTGGAGGAAGGCTGTGCCTGCCATTCTTCATGGGATCGTAACAATAGCGCCTTGGAAGGGGTTGCGATTTTCCCCTTTCATGAAGCTGTTGGGTTCTCGTTGACATGGTTTGCGTCTTATCTCTAAAGTTTACTCATTTGTAAGAACAGTCCACACATCGTGGACTTCAAAACCAAGAAGTTTTAAAACGGACAACACCATTTCTGCACTGTAGTTTACCTACTTAACATGCTTTATGTGCGTAACTAATAGCTGTGTGCTTATCTTCCAAGAGTATTTTTAACCTCTTCGGCTTCTATCCAATGGGTTCTTAGAGCTTCCATCATTTCTAAAATCTACCTCTTGATACAGTAATCAGAATTAGAAAGTCTTGCCGTTCACTTACTCTCGTCCTTTCAAACTTTTCCATTTAAGAAAATCGATGAACAAATTCTTTCTTGTAACTCGCTCCAGCACTACGTCTATTTTTATTTATTTTTCTGACTTGGCAGGGCTCAGCAAAGCTTCCCGGGATTTTTCTTTTTCTTTCTTTCTTTTTTTTTCCTGTTAGAGCAGATGTGGGGGTAGGGGAGGAGAGGGCTAGTCTCCAACCAGTGTCGCCCCCGCTGGGACCTCAACCTAGCACGCCGCAGGGCCGGGAATTGTGGTAGAAGGCAGCAGCGCTGGCCAGTCGGTCCAAAGCTCCACCTGCAGCCACACCGCGGAGGTTCTCCTTTCAGCATCGCTCACTGGCACTCACACACACCACAGCTCTCCTTTGGGTCGGAGGAGACGCCAGCCAAAGGAGGCGGGGTTGCAGGAGGAGAGTCCGCTCTGCGCAATCCAGTCCGGGACTTGGCTCCGCCCGGGAGCGTCGGCCTCTCCTGTGACAGAGGAGTAGTGAGCTGCACGGGGTGAGGCTGCAGCCAACTCCGCTCCCCGCGCACTCAGCTGCCCAGGCGCTCGGGACGCAGTAGCTGCGCTTCTCCGTGGTGCCGAATGCCCGCGATGCCGGCCTAAGGAGCGTGCGGCAGCGGCCAGCATCGCCACACCCCGGCCACCGCGCTCCGGCTGCAGAAAGGGGACAGAGCTTTGCACCCTTGCCCCAGCCCCCACCCCGCCCCCCGTCCTGAAATGACTTGTTAATCGGCGCAGACACCACCAAGGGGACTCACCGGAGTGGAATCCAAGTGGAATTTGGATTTGGAGAAGAGTTTCTTGAACATTTACCCTCGTCCTTGTTGGTTCTTCTTCTTCTTCTTTCTTTCTTTTATTTCCTTTTAATTTTTTAAAAATATTTGGCTTCTTTCTTGATCTCCCCTTCCCCGCCTTTCATTGGAGATGATCAGAGCTCGCTTGTATCCCAGAAAGTAGTCTTCACGACTGTTGCCCCAAAAGAGACAAGCACACATGTAGGAATGACAAAGGCTTGCGAACGAAAGAGCGCAGCTCGAGGCCCGGAGAGATCTTCTCGATAATGGATTACTAAATGGGATACACTCTGTACCAGTTCCTTCCGAGCCCTGGCTGCCTGCTCGTCGATGCACCGAAAAGGTACGGCCCGGGCGTCCCTGCGCGCCCCACCTCTGAACCACTGGGCTCCAGCCTAAGGGTCCCGGGGCTATCACCCGTGCGCTCTGTGGGCTTTGTGGTGCCTGCGCTTATTTCGTCTTCTGTCTCTGTCTCCCGAGCGTTGCCCGGTCCTGGGGGAGCAGCCCTGAGTCCAGGCTGCAGCTCATCTCATCCCAGTGCCCCAGAGACCGTCGTGCTCCTTGTAGAGAGCTTCCCCACCCGCTTAGCGCACACGCCCGGCGCCGCCCCAGACAGCGACCCGGGGTATGGCTGCCCGGGCCAGGGGTATGTGTGCTGGACTGGAGGCTAGTTCTCACTCTCCGGCCAGCAGCAGGCAGAGTGAACCCGAGAGGGTGGGACTCTCGGAAGCACCCAGACCTAGTGTTGAATGCAGGAAAAGGGGAGAGGAAAGGATTTGGCCCTCGAGGGCTAGAGGCGGTTGGGTAGAACAGCGTTGTTTTCGTCCAGTGACAGGTTTAGGTTCTGGGGTGGGAGAAGAGGTTCTGTGGAGACCGTGGGGGAAGCGAAGAGAATCTTTTGTTGTCAGCGCTGGGTCTGGGCTGGGCTCTGTGGAGTGCGGGAAACTTGTAATGGCCCTGGGTACCCACGCGCCTTGCTTCTTGGTGAGATTCCCTCTCCAGAGGCCTCTGGCACCAGAGGTTCCGGGCTTTGTTTGCTCGAATAAGTGCCCTGGAGCGGCCTCTCTATGTGCCGCGGCGCCCCCGCCCTAGGTCCTGTCCCCCGCCTCAGCTCCCACCCGAGCTGCGAGGATACAGTTCGTCGCTGCTGCGTCTCCCTCAAGCACAGAGCCCCACAGGCTGAGCCTGGCCCCTGCTGCCCCCTCTTCCAAGATCTGTGCGGTCCCTCCCTAGAAAGGAGGTATCCCTGGAGGGGGAAGTGGGGGAGACACGACTAGTGATAGCCCTGTGCCTGCCACCCAGACAAGGACTCTGCTCAGGCCCCGGTTTGTGGCTGTCCCAACTCTGCAGCGCTGCCTCTGGGGCAGTCGGACGCTCGGGATCAAAGCAGGCAGTGCCCACCCACCCAGCCTGACCCTATTAATGTGCGAAGAGTCTTTTTTTCCTTATTCTCCACGTTTTTCTCAGTTCTCCATTATGGTATATGGTACAAAGCAGGATCCTGAGGTCTCCTCCCTACTCTCACCACCTGAACAGCACGGAGGGAGCCAGGGAGCTGTCCCGGACTTGAGGGTTTCGGGAAAGGAAACCTGACTCTGATGTCTTTCCTGCTCACTCACCGCCCCTATTCCCTGCGCCTCCTCCCCTTTTACAGCGCGGGGTCACTGGATCAGGCACTTCTGGAAAGTTTCTCTGAAAGCCAAGGGCTGCGGGCATAACAGGACTAGGGCTCAGCGTGCTGAGTCTGTGGGAAACCAGACCCAGAGGGAATTGTGTGGACAACCCAGATGAGGCTAAAAACTAGGTGCCGGCCCGGTAGAAGAGTGGCGCCTCCCGGCCCGCGCGGCACTTGCTGGACCAGTCTCTCAAGCAGTCGGGGAAGGGTTGGGTGGGGGTGGGAGTAGTGTACAGGGGTAAAACATGGGATGCTGGGGTTACCATATTGGAAGAGGCTGGTGTTAGGGTGCGTGTGGACACTGGCATGGGCTCGCTGGCTGGCGAGCGAGTGGTCAGCTCCAAGCGCAGCATCCCGAGCCTCCTGTGACCAGCGCGCGGTATTTCAGCCTCCGAATGTCTGGGGAGGAGCGGAGCAGAGAGCCAGGTGTGTGTGGAGCAGGGGAGGAACAAGAGATTGGAGGCGCTGTCTGCACAGCCAGGGCAAGCATTTTCAGCGGCAGTCTCCATCCTGTATCGCAGTAGGCTGCCCTGCCCGCCGTTCCGGGTTGATCTGAAGGGAAAAAGGTGACTGGGGAGTGCGGAGGCCAAGCACAGCCACCCAGGGATCGCTCCTTGTTTACTCTTGATGGAAATCGAGTTGTTAAGGAAAGGTTAAAAACACTGGCGCGCGCGCGGACACACACACACACACACACACACACACACACACATCTATACTACTTGTACGTTAACTTTCTTTGCCTTGTGTGTGAAAAGCCATTTAAGCCAGTTACAGTATTCTGTCAGCAGGTCTCAGAAAAGCTATTTAATGCCCCCCAGCGCTGGTTTTTAAGTTTTTCCTGGGTAGAAAGGTTGAGTGCCTTTGCCTTGCTTTTCTTTAATCCTGATAATTGTCTGTCTTCCCTTGCTCCCCTCCACCCCCACCCTCTGCCGCGGACTTACATCTTGGGCATTAAGTCTACATTCTGCTACTGTGATGGCAGGGGAAGATTAATGGTTACAGATACGTTAATTCTTTATTTAACTTTTTTCCTAAAAATAAAGATGCCTGGTTCAATTCTGAATTGAAATACCCTACACTTTTTTTCACTTTCTCACACTTGACTCAAATGGCTAGCAGAAGTCAAGATTTCAAGCATTTTCTGTATTTTTAAAAAAAGATTCTGTGTTTAGTCTTTGTGATTAAACTATCCAAGGCACCAAAGTTAATTATTAATCTAACCTTAAATATAGTGACAGAACTGTGTCTCCACCCATTAACCTAAACTATCTGTTGAAAATAATTGGACTAGCTCTTTGAGTTTGGTTTACCCATTCTAGTTTATAGATAACTTTAATGTGATCTTGACTAATCCCCTCTCCCTGTTTTTAGATACACTTAACTGAGGTGCTTTGTAAGACAGTCTAAAGCAGAAAAAAAGTAAACATGAAATTTAACACCTTGTTTTTTTGTTATGAGTCTTTTCATCTTGATTAAATAAGCTTTCTATTTTATGCTTTTATTTACTATATTTAGGAGTAACAGTCTTTCCTATGTGTTATGTTTTGCAACTATCACCCTTTAGAAATGTGTCATATTCTCAATAATGCATATAATCCACAAAAGTAAACATTAAACCTTCAAATTATTATCTCAGGAACCATCTGCAGAATATACTTATTGGACAAATACTTAAGTTAAAATTGGGTAAAAACTCATAAGACATGGTATAGAAAAGTCAATTAAATGTTAAATGAATGAATGAAATAGTCACACATAGTTCATTCCATTTAGAGTAGACCTGTTTATTTTTGCTATAGTGGAAAAAAGAATCTACCTTCAACTATGTGGTTATTGCAAAGTGGTAATAAGTGCAACTCTTTGCACACAAACACATACCTTTCCATGTCTAGTGAATGCTTTTCCCCATTATTAAAAAAATAGCATTTACTTCTCAAGTGGGCATGTAATATTGCATCAGTGAGTTTGAGTGTGTTGAATCAGGATAGTGAGATTTAGGAAGATGGTTATCTTCTTCACTGCATAAAAATAAGAGATCCAAGTTTAAAAACTTGTGTTAAATTTAAAATAAGTACTTGTGGTTTAAAAGTAAATGGGTAATTGTACACCTATATGAAATGAAGAAAAATATTGTTTTGAACAGGGAAAACATTACATACACACACACACACACACACACACACACACACACGGGATATATAGTGGATTAGCTCTTTTGGGGGCAGTATAAAAGAGTGATGATGGGACCAAAAGTTTTTTTAGAACTAGATTGCCAAGAGCTAATATATTCTCCCATCTTATTTGTTTGTAGGAAGGAATCCCAGAACAAGCCAAACTAATTGCGAATGCTTTAATTAGGCATCTGCCATTTGCTTCAGTGTAAAGCCTAACTCTGCACTATTCCCTGCCCCCCCCACACACACACACACATTTAGACAATTTAATGTCCTAGTCCCAGAGTGGGTGTTCCTTAACATATTTTCTTAAGAGCTCTGTGTCATGGCAGCTGCATTTGTGCTGCCAGGGAAAGGGGAAGCCTTGACGTATTCTGCAGTGACCTCCAAAATCAGTGCCCCCCACTCACTTGGAGCCAAGCCTATTTCAGAGTGAAGGCTTTTCTCATCTGCCTTTAAATGTGCTGCAAGAGCAACTGAGCTATTCTCTGCTAGTAACCACATGGTTGTCTCTTGGGGATATGGTAAGGTAGGGAAGGGAGGGAGGCATTTAATCCCTTTGAAATGGGCAAATAAGATGTCATACCCACAAACCTCAAGGGGAGAAGGGATTCAGGACTACTTCTCAGCATGGGACTATTACAGTACAGTATATACACAAGGGTATCTTGCTTTGTGAAATAGATGAGCTCTCTTGCAAAACTTTTTTATTAGAATACTTCTAATTACACTAATGGAGAGTATCATATATAACTATCACTACTTTATGATGATTTTCAAAAAATCTTTTCAACCTACACCTCTATCCTGGAGCTTGCAAATTGCCAGTGTTTACTGGGACTCAATAGACATCTCAAACTTCATATGTTCAAAAAAGCTTTTCTCATAATCTCTATTATAGCAATTCCATTCTTTGAGTTGCTCAGGCCTCAGAACTAAAGAATTACCCTTGACTCCTCTCTCTCACATCTGCATCCATGGTAGCTCCACCTTCAGAATGCTCACTGACTTCCTCCAGGTCATCCACATCACTGACTTAACACGTTGGCCAAGTCATGGTCCTCTTTTGTAGGTTACTGTGCCAAAGTCCCAGCTAGTCTCCCTGCTTCTGTTCTTGGCTCCTATCAACTTTACTCAGCATAGCAGTATTTTTTTTTGTTTTGTTTTGTTTTTTTCAGGTCAGCTAAATCAGATGACTTCTCAGCTGAGATACTTTTCCCATCTTATTCTAGTAAAAGCCTAAATCCCTCCTGTGGCCTTTGAGCCCCACATAATCTGCACTCAGGACCCTTCCTGACTTCCATTCCATAGGCATGATGTCTCATGTACCATGAGTGAGACATTCACCTGTATGTTGTTTTTCTAGTCTTGGTGATGGATTGGAGCCTATTTGTTCCCACAATCTCACCCAGTCCCCTTCTATGGCTAAAAGCACACATCTGTGAGGCACCTGGTTGTAGCTGAAGAAGGGCTGAGTTAGGTAAAAGCAAC